ATGCTGCAATCTGTTTGGTTAAACCATTGTACACTATCAGCCATTATAGTTCACCACTAGCAATAAAGACAAAAGAATGCAATAAATATTTGTTTCAAGAACATCAAATTTCCGCAGAGCAACTATCAGCCGATATTTCCTCAGAAGAAACACTCTATTGTTTTGTCGAAGGAAAATACCCGGATGTATAGCACTCGTCCATAAAAATTTTTCTGTAAAAAAGCAGGCTTATAGAAAAAAAAAAAAAAATTAAAAGACGCAATCTGTCTTGTTTCTCTTACACTTTCAAATTTTACATTTGGCTTTCACGCCTTTCCTCTAAAAAAATTGAAAATGGTTCAATATGATTTTTGAACTGGAGCGCGGAAGAAAATTTGGTGGTGAGAAATTAAGACAATAGAGTGTTTATCTTGGAGTAGCCTGATAGTCGCCCCGCGGAAATTTATGTTTCTAAACCTAGCATATTTTGTTATACAAGACCGGCTCAAAGAGCCCTTTTTCGATACTAATAACAATCTTTTAGTCCATAATTGAGAAAAAATGTAACATAACTTACACATTTATATTATAAGCTCAAAATATATCCAACTGATTATATTTCAGTGGGCCGTGTATATGTAAACGAGTCGATTCCTAGAATGGAAGAAGTAGAGAAGGAAATGGCTCTTGTGCATGGCGGCTGGGTCAGTAATGGCGGATGTTGGAAACCTATTGAATGCAAAGCCAGAGTCAAGGTGAGGTATCTATCCAAATTTCTTCATTTTTTGATCAGCTTAACTATAAATTTGAATTTTTAAAGGATTTTTGGATTCTGCTGTATGTAAAGTATATCTTTGCAGAGATTAAGGTTAATGTTAGTGATATCAGCGTGCATCATTTAAGCAATAGAGTACTTTTTCCGTGTTAACATAGCCGTACCTAAACGCACCTATTGACCAATTAGAGCGTGCATACTACAGTGTATCTTAAATATTTTTCTTGTTTTTGTAATTTAACAAGAAATATAAGGAGTAACGTTATTCGACGTTTCGATGTATCCAGCATCATTATCAAGAATAAAAATCGTTAAATGTCAAAGTTGTTTAAAGAGTTGAGTTATAAATATCATTAGGTGGAATTCCTACGTGCGCGATAATTGTGCTAATGATATAGTTTCCCGCGAATCGAGTCCGATTGCACGTTCAATGATGGTTTGAGATTTTGAGAAAAAACAACTTTTCGTAAATATATGATTTTTCACGTTGTTATTGTAAGATAATTTTGTGCTGGTATGTAGATTCGTTGGTATGCAAGTTACGTAATTATGCTAAGAAGTTAATATTTAAGGAGTTTGTCCGTTAGGAGTTGTCACTTTGACGGCATCTCCGCTTTTGATCTGTTCATTTTGGAAATTTTTNTTCACTGCAGAGTGATTAGACAACAAAAAGTAGTGTAGTTTATTCCGGCACTTTTTGAGGACCGAAAAATTGTCCGCGATAGTTGATTTCTCGACTCCATGTTGTTTCATATGTTTGCCAATCGAAGATCTGGAGCTTGTGTGTTCGATAACGCGTTAGTACAGGTGTCGGTTGGTAAAACCGACATAGTTAGGTTTTCTATTTGTCCTTTGTTAACGAAGAGATACTTTCTCCACAGATGGCCTTAATAATTCCATACCGTAATCGTTATGAACAGCTATCAATATTTGTTCGACAAATGCACCCTTTCTTGAAGAGACAGAATGTCGACTACAGAATCTTTGTAGTAGAACAGGTAAGTTTACGTAGAATAACTAAAATTGTCATTAGCTATCCCAGGAGCAATGATTGTGATCTATTGGAAATGTCTCTTTTCCAAATGTAAGAATTGGAATCCCGGGGCGGACTTTTTGTGGAATGAATGCAAGCTATCATTGAAAGAATTCGATGCCACAAATTGTGGAAAAAAATTATTGGAAAGGTCCGATCCATCTGCAAGATGCAAAGTATTATGATTTGTTGCAAAAGAACCAACACTGCACCATAGAGAACAATTTCTTGGTAAGTAGAAATCTTATTTCCCACATGATCAATCATGCCTGGCGGACAATTTCCCGTCAAATGTTTCGAAAGCGAACTGAAAAATGAAAATAGTAATAGATATTTAACTCTGGCTTGCGCTTTTACCCAAAATGGATGATGAATTTAATTTTGTTTTTCTATTATGTTATTCGGTCCGAATTGCGAATATTGTTCTTGCGTCAGGCAAGCGACTGAGAAATAGAAGGCCTGTTGGTAGTCTGTCACCTACAAGATGAATACAAACATCGCTTAACATGAATTATTTCATCACCAGTTAGGAAATACACCGTTTAACCGTGCAATCCTGTTCAACATTGGCTTTAACGAATCATTGAAGTTTGACCAATACGACTGCTTTATATTTCACGATGTTGACTTGATACCAGAGGATGATCGTAATGAATACACCTGTCCCTCATCTCCCAGACACTTGTCAGTAGCTGTCGATAAATTTAATTACCGGTAAGTGCTTGAATCAATTTTAAACTGCATTGCTTTGGGGAGAGCGAAACTGGATTTAAGTTTAAGATAATTTCCCCCCGTCCCTGCCTCACTCAAGAAAAACTTGCGAGGAAAAACTTGCGAGCGACAACCACAAGATACACAAGGTCACATTCAGTGGAAGATGAACACGGATTCTCCTAAACAACTCAGTAA